GTTTAATCCTGGTTCTGCTGTTTTATTTTCTATGTGACCTTGAGCAAGTCATTTCTCCTTTAGTGGGGAAATTTCTTTATCTGTCACTTATCCCCATGTACCTCAGTTCCTCATCTGTAAAATGGGCTGGAGAAGGAAATGGCAAGCCACTCCAGCACTCAAGAAAACTCCAGATGGGGTCATGAAGAGTTGGACGTGACTAAAACAACTGAACAACAAAATGTCTAGATGGTTGAATGAGATACTCTCTCAGGTCCTTTCTATCTCTGAACTCTTATGATCCAAAACCTGCAAATGATTGTTTTCCTTATTCACTGCAAGATTTTAACAGTGGCTAGAATGCTGGAACTAGAGTCAGGAAGACCTGAGTTCAAATCTGATCTCATTCGCTTACTAGCCATGTGACCCAGGGGCAAGTCACTTATTAACCTTTGTCTGCCTCAGTTTCCTCATTTCTAAAATGGGAATAATAATAGCATCTGCTTCCCAGGGTTATTGTGAGGACAAAATGAAATGTTTATGAAGTGCCCTGCAAACCTTAAAATGCTATGCAAATGCTAAGTTACTATGGTTATCATAGTTACGTTAGACTAATAAATCTCAATCACTGTTAAACATTGTATGCTCATTAAATTAAGACTATGCTTATGAATGTAGACACTAGAACCTGCCCCTCTGCCTCTTCCCCTCGATAACCTTCTTCCAAGCACAGCTGGCGTATTATCTCCTACATGAAACCCTTCTCGATTCTCCCAGTTGAAATTACCTTGGTTTACTCAGTATATACTTATTTGTCTGTATCTCCTCAGTTGTATCTCCTCGTAGATTGCAAACTCCTTTATTTTAGACTTGTATTCTCAATACCTTGCACAGAATAAATGCTTAATAAAGGTCTATTGAATTAAATTGAACTTACAGTTTAGGATACCCATTGAGAGACATAGAGCTTAGCACACTGCCTGGGGCACATAGTAGGCATTTTAAAAAGTGTTTATTGACAGCGAATGCACTTGTAGCCAATGAAGGAGAGGTACGTATAGGCCAATGCTGATCACAGAAGAGGCCTAGTTTTATCTGAGGTGACTTTGGAGTCTCCATTTGGAGTTTCCCTGCATGACATCATAGAATGTCAGTTCCCCTCCCCGATTTATATTGGGGGAATTTGAGATCCAGAGAAACCTAATTCAAAATGGCATTTCTGTGAAGTGATTGTTCCCATCTCCCACTCAAGCTCTCATTTTATTTATTCCAGTGAAGAGACAGACATTGGGCTATTTCCCACTACTTTGCCCTCTTCCCTCTAGTATCAATTCTTTCTTTCTTTTTCTTTCTTTCTTTCTTTCTTTCTTTCTTTCTTTCTTTCTTTCTTTCTTTCTTTCTTTTTTTCTTCTTCTTCTTTTTCTTTCTTTCTTTCTTTCTTTCTTTCTTTCTCCCTTCCTTCCCTCATTCCTTCCTTCCTTTCTTTTTTTTCATTTGCTCTGCATTCTACCTTGGCATTCTTAGGTCCTGGGCCTGGACTAATTGAACTGGTTTTCACTAAGCAGATGGTTTGGCGTTTGTGCTTAGGAGAAACTGGGGAAAGAAAGGAGAGTGTTTGTTGGGAACAATGTCTTCTCTATCTTCAAGGAGGTAATGCCTAGCTTAAGGGATAAGTCAAAGTTTCTATCCACTCAGAAATGACATGGTGAGAATTCTAACCACCCTCATGCTTTCCTCGAAGCAGAATCTTCCTTGGGTAAGCTCATGGATCCTTGCTGGGGAAGTATAGTAGTTTATATGCCAAATATTTGCTTCGTTCACAAAATTGCATTTCATTGTGAATTATCTCAAGCTGATGTCAAAGCAAACCATTTTCTTGAGTATAAAGGGTTCCTGGTTATTTGACTAAAAGTTTATCTTGATCATGTTTCCTGAGCACTGTCTTCTTACTCTTCCCCTCCCTTAGCTCTTTTTTCTCTAAATTTAATTTTAAATTTATGGAATAAAACAAGCATTTCCATATCATCGTATAATAAAAAAGATGATTGCACATGAAACTGCAAATCCATCATATACAACTTGCTATTCTTTTTAAATATATAATAAAGTTTTCATGTAAATTTCTTTTTTTCCCTTTTTTTCTTCCCTCCCCTCACTGCATCCTAGAGATGGCTACCCTTAGACACAAATATATATGTATTTGTGTCTAATGGTAGTTGTATGTGTGTATGTAAAATTATTGTATACATGCTTCTATTTATCAGTTCTTTCTCCGGGTGCAGATAGTGTCTTTCTTCATATGACCTTTATTTTTAATTTGGGTATCTGTAATAGTCAAAATGCCTTAGTCATTCAAAGCCATTCTTAAAACAATATCGCTGTTACTGTACACAATATTCTCTTGGTTCTGTTCATTTCACTCTTTACCATTTTGTGTAAGTCTTTCCACATTCTTACAAAGGAATGAACATTTATATCAATACCAGAGGTCCTTTCCCTGGCCAAACTCTCCCTGTTCATTTAACAGATTCGGGGGAAAAAAAATAAAACAGAACTTCCACCACTTTTTAATAATGCTATTCATTGAGAGATAAGCATAGGATCCTGCTAGAATATGTACAGGGTCCAGAGCCAATTAGAAATGTGGGCACCCAAAGCAAACATTGTAAATTGTTTCTAGGGCAATAAGCAGCATGAAATATACGCTCACATCAACCTTTTTCAGTTAACTTGACTTAGGCTGAGGGGAAAGGATTTTTGACACAAAATACCCCATGGGAGGAAAGGCTTCAGGACACTTTCCCCTACAAGGGGACACAGAGATCCAAAAAATAATGAGCAGAGACCCTAGGACTCTCAAAGGTCACTAAAAAGTGGATCTAGGTCCTTAAAGAGCTTATCTGTGGTGTGGCTACATCAGGGTGGAAGCACCAGTGGCTTCCTCTTTTGAACAATGATTCTTAAAAACTAGATGGAAAGATTAGCTTTTTTTTTTTAACCTGCTGAAGAAGTACAAGTTCTGTCAGAGTTCCCTAAATTTCAGATCCCTGAGATAAAAACTTTAGTTATCCCACCCTAGTTGTAGCTATGACAAGATCTATCCCTGATCAAAACAGGGAGAAATAAGAAGGAAATGTCTGTGCTTTCCATAAAGACAACCAAACAATATTGCTTTTTGCTTTTTAGGCAATTGGGGTTAAGTGACTTGCCCAAGGACACATAGCTAGTGAGTGTCAAGTGTTTGGTCTGAGGCCACATTTGAACTCAGGTCCTCCTGACTTCAGGGCAGGCGCTCTATCCACTGCAGCACCTAGCAGCCCTGTTTTTTGTTTGTCTTTTTGTTTGTTTAAAGCATACCAGAACAACTGAACCTATAAATACAAATAACCACTACCCTTCCTAGTAATTTCCTAGGAAGGTGATACATATCTTTAAAAAAATAATGCCGTGGCTCAAAACATTTGTGAAAACTCCTCATTTGAAGCTGTTTACTTGTAATATCCTCGATGGTCATAGAATCATGGAGCAAAGAATCACAGATTTAGAACTGGAAGGAACTTTAGAGGAGGCCAGGAAGCCATGTTTGGCTCTAAATGTAAATAATAATATATAAGAATGTAAATCCAGGTAAATAAAATGAGTTTTGGCCCCCAAAGAAATATGAATCACAGTATTACTATACAGGAATAAAGAGAGGCTTTTTCATGGGATTCATCACAGGCTGTGAAAACAGATTGGATACAGGCACTTATTTCCAAGTGTTCTGAGGAGGCACAGCATCACTTGAATAGGTGTACAGACTCTTAAAGCCTCGCTTGGAAGGGCCCAACACTCATGTGGATGCATGATTTCTGATAACTTTTAAATATATCTATGTATTATTACTTTATAATCACGCTGTATCTTAATTTTTAAACTTAAATCTATATACATTAATGCTTCGCTGATTTGTGATTTCATCGACGTGGGCTCTCCCTTCACTGATTCAGATTGTGATTTTTAATACACGGTCTTCAAGAGTTGCTGTGTTTGAAAAATTCATCACCTGGTAGCCAACCTAGCGATAAGCCTTTCCAGATTTGGAGAGATGGCTGTTGGTTGTTGGCATATAATACATAGTGGATGCATATTCAGAGCTATAACCAAGAATTTTTTGCTCCTGGGGCAAGAAACACCAGGTGTACTCTCAGTTGTGTGTGGGTATGTTTGGGTAGAGGGAGTGGTTAAGGTAGAAGTTCATTACAATCCATCCTTTGGTAACTGCCTGTTTCAATTGTTCTTGTGCTAAATGTTGTTACTCCTACAATGCTGAAAAATTGCAAATGCCGTCAGCGCCCTCTAAGTTTGAGACCTTCCAAATTTTGTACTCGGGGTAAAACCCCAGTCGCCCTGCCTCAGTTAAAGCGCTGACCCTACATAAAACTTTTCCAGCTCAGTAGAACTCTCCAGGACTTGTGTTTCACTGGCATGCTCTATTTCGGTTTCAGTTTCATGTTTGTTTTTTTTTTAATTTGGAAAATTTTGTGACGTGTACCTTTAGATGGAGACATTTGGGAGGGTGGCGAAAATGGGGAGTGGGAACCTAGTCCAGATGAGGGTAAGTAGTCATTCTCCTCTCCAAGTTTCAGATTTATGTATCTTGTATTGGGCCTGACTAATTTGATTATTTGGGTAGCAGACCACTGTATGAAGTAGAGGAAAATCCATTTTGGTGGCCACGTAGATCCCAATGTTTCACTGTAGGGTGTTCATGCAAGTTTGTTGAATTGCAATGTCAAACCTAGCCTAAACTATGTGTTGGCTGTTTTGTAAAGTCTTATAAAAATGACTTGAGTGGAATAAATCCAGGCGAATTGAAACTCTCTGGTGGTAAGATTATTTTCATTGTGTGTAGGGGCCCATGGAATGACTGCTAAAGAAATCCCCTGAAGCCAGTTTGTGAGCCTGTTTACATGTCACTAGCCACGTCTTTCCTGGGCCTCTCAGCAGATTCTACCTAACTCCAGTTACTTTTTTTCTAGGCAGGAAGAGAGGAGATGAATTCTGATTTTATGTTCTTTCCTTTCGAAGAGGTTGAGACTGGCCCATTAAGAGACTCAACAGATGAGAATTCAAAAAGGAATAAGAACAAGAAGAAATTTGACACAAAGAAGCAATCCCAAGAGGTCTTGTCCTCAGACTCAGAGGATAGTGCCTATGAAGCTGAGACACACATGTCCTGTTCCAAGGCAAGGGGTGGGTCAAGGGGAGGAGGGTTCCCAGACAGTGTTTCTAAGGAGAACAGTAACAAATACATTAAAAGTTATGCTCACCAGATTAAAACTTTCCCAAAGTATCGTCAGTCTAAAGCCCTATGCAGCAAAAAATCTATTTAAGTTGCTCTACTTAACTATTCTCTTCCCCTAGAAACAATCTTTAGGACAGATTCTATTGAGCTGGTCACCAAGTCAGACCTACCATCTGAACTAGTTCCACTTCCCGTAGGCCCACTCAAAGCTCTGGGGTGAGCCTGAAAATAACAAGGGATTTACCGATCATTATTCAAGACCATTGTAGCGATTCCACTTCCCAGCCCTGGTAGAATGAGACATTCAGGGTGGTTGGAACTGAAGTCACACATCTGATTCATTTCCATGTGAGTTTTTCATGGTTTACGGACCAGACCAACCAAGAAACAAACAAGCAAAGCCTTTAATCCGCATTTACTTTCCCAAACCTTCTGCTTTAAAAAACAAACACCTTATTGGCTCTTGCCTGATCATGCTTTATCCCGTTCTGTTTCCCAGGCCTGATTTCTCTAGCTAGGCGGGAGTTTTTCCCACAAAGGGCTCACTCTGGCCACTCTGGGGTAACCTCAATGCTCTGGACTTTGGAGCTATTGTGTCCTTATTTAACCTGAATTATTGTCAACGGTTTTAGAAGTTTTCTGGAAGTCAATGTATTATTAACCCAGGTAGGGTTGACTGCAGTGCAACCAAGGTGTGAAATTGTTTATTGTATATCATTTATACCAATTATTTGAATTGTTATCTCACACCAGATACTGTCCTGTTTTCCACCAGGCTAATATTACCTGATTTACCAGCACCTTGGAATACTTCAGGGCTATTGCCAATTCTTCCTATCAGTTGCATAAACTGTTGCATAAGCCGCTTGTCAAAAGTACAGAATCAAAATAAAAATCTTAAATTGGAACCATCTCCTAAACAGTGTGCGGTGTGTTTGTTAGCACTTTGTTGCTCTGAGCACCCAACAGCTATGAGGTATAGATGTGTTCATTTCTATTGGAGCTTCTATTATTTCACATACATAAAAAGAAAGAAGTGCTCTTTCCTTCTTCCTCTTCATTAGTAACTCCTGGCCTAGATAGTAACAATGATACTGATTATTAAGAAGACATGCATTGCCCCCCACCTTTTCTTAAACAGAGAATATAGTTCCACATATGAGAAAGTACAGTCCAGATGTGAACCCCCATGCAGCTATATACCCAGGAGGGCTAGCAATCATGAAGTAGCTGATGAAAGTATTATCCCCTCCAAAACATGGGACAATGAAGTCAGGCTAGCGGAAAAGCCCCTGAACCTAAAATCCCAGAACCTGGGCCCTGAAGTCAAACTTAGCTACTTTCTCATTGTGTGATCTTGCGTCCTTATCTTTATTAAACACTGGATGGCCTTGCTAAAAACATTGTTCAACTCACCAAAAGGGCTAGTGCTTAGAAAGCACTATGCTCACCCTGGCAGTTCTGTGCTCCACCTTACTGTAGAGGGAGTCCTGGGAAAGTATCAGGCCCTCTCAGGCTCTCAGACAAAAGTGATTTTCATCCCCTGGCTCTGCCTTTCCCTGAGTCTCCACAGGTGTCTTTCTAATCTGAGGGATGTCATCAATGAGGATCTGCCCAATCAGAATGAGTTTTTTGACCTATCTACAGGAAACTTGATATTCTCTTTGAATTTGCTCCATTTCACTGAGCCTTACCCATATTACTATGGTCTAAAGAGATGGATTTCATGTCCCCTGCAACCCCTGTAAGAACAAACATGCCTAACTATATACAATGTTTTATCCTTTGTGAAGGATAAAAAGGGACAACCGCACAATGAAACATCCACTGTATGCATGCCTGCCCCCTAACTTCTCCTAAGATCCCAGCCACTCCCATCAAATACATAGGCACATTATGAACCGAGTCGTTTAAGGAAAAGACAATTCCATTGTTCTAACTTCACGAGGCCACCATTCTTGCGAAGCCGCAGAGGAGTTTAGGGAATACAACACAATAGTTTCCAAATACTGTTCAATCCTCAGCCTCCCAGGAGGTTGAATGATGGAGGAGAGAAATGTGGAAGCTTAGCAGTCATGGCTGGCTCTCAGTGCTATCACTTTTCTCCTCATGGATCTGTAACAGACAGTAACCTCCAGCTGTCTTTCTGCTTCTTGGTTTGCTGTTCATTGACTGGGTTGTCCAGGACTCCACACGTCCCACCAAGCTTTGGTCCTCCTTTGTGGAGCAGCAGGGACAGCCAGATACAGACTTGTTCTGTCTCAATCTCCATCTTGTTTTGTCTACCCTATGTCCTTGAACTTACCCATCTAACCTCTTATCTAGCCAAGAGGTATGTCACTTCCATTTCTGTCTCTTCCAGTTGGCACCTGAATGTGACTGCTCACCACTGAGGGGAGGGAGAGTAAAATCAGCTGTTTTTCTTCTGTTGAACCAGAAGCATAGAGAAAAGTTATCCAGCATGGAGGGAGAAGATAAATTCCAATAAAGACTTAAAAACTGTTTTTCTCATTTATTCATTTAATCATTCAATTAATGATTTTTTTTTACCTAATATGGGATCTCTAGGTGCTGTATAAATATAAGACAAGGTTTCCACTCATAAGAAACTTGTAACAATTATATTAGGAGGTTGGGAAAGGACAGGAGGGATCTAAAATTAACAAGCACAGAAAGTTAAAAGTTACAGGATAGATGTTAAATACTGAGTAATAGAAAAGTGCTACCAGAGTACAAAAGAAGGAGACATTGTTATGGACTGGAGTGACCAGGTAAGCCTTCTTAGAGAAGGTAGAATTTAAGGAATAGGTATACTTTGTATAATTGTGTTTTCCCATAGCAACATGAAGGGAATCGCCTGTGCCTTCTTTTTTCATCTCATCCTATGCCAACCCCACAGAGACAGGGGACATGCCAATTACAAGCCTTTCAATACTATGGCCATGTTGTCCTGAGGGACACCTTACTTGGAAGAAAAATCAGGATGAAGTCCAAAGGGCCTTGTCTGGATGATAAAACCATACTTTCTTCACATCTTCTTATTCTTTTGATATTTAAGCCACCTCCATTTTGAAGGTCAACAATATCAGGTCACTGGGTAAGCTTCCCAGAGAGGGGGAACTACCAGGCTAGAGATTTCTGGAGTCAGGATTCCTCGGGGTGATGTTATCCTGTAAGTCATGATGGCTTAGCACTTAGGCAGGGGTCATACCTTCTCAGCCTTGCCTCCCCTCTACAAAGGTCCACTCCTTCCTTTCTCTTCTAAAAATCCATTTTGATCTATCAATCATTCCCTCTTTCATATCTTCAATCTTCTCCCCTATTCATTCCTTCTACACTACCTGAAACACATTTACATCCTACAAACCCAAGCAAAACAAATGCCTTCCTTTGATCTTGCCATTTCCTGTGGCTATTATGACATATCTCTGATCTATTTTTGGACGGATAAATTTTTGGAAAGAAAGTACCGATGCACAGTATCTCTTCTTCCTTACCACCCATTCATTCCTTAATCCCTTGAAGCCTGATTTCCCCACTCTGCTGAAACTTCTCTTTCCGAGGTCATCAGTGACCTTTTAAATAGACAAATCCAACAACTATTTCTCAACTCCCATCCTTCTTGACTGCTGCATTTGAAACTATTGACTCATTCTCTTCTGGGTAATTATCTCTTTATGTGACATTAGATGACATGTGACATGTGGCTTTTGGTGATATTACTGCTTCTCCTCCATCTTATCTAAACATTTTTTTCCTGGTCTCCTTTGACGGTTCATTATCTTTCTCCTACCATTAAAATATGGGTATACTCCCAAGACTCTAAACTTGGCCTTCCTTTTTTTCTTTATAGTTTTTCTAGGTGAACTCAACCAAACTTGTGGCTTCACCTCTGTGCAGATTACTCCTAAATATCTAAATCCCTGAGCTCCAATCTTATATGTATGACTCTCTGCTGACTATCTCCACCCAAATGTCCTTCTGTATTCAAACTCTACCTCCAGAAAATCTTGAATCTATCCTTTCCTTTCATTACCCTTTGCAACTAACCTTATCACCTCTCAGCTAAACTATTGTAATAATTTCCAACCTTGTCTCCCTACCTCTATTATCTTCTTTTCTACTTCATCCCTCACATTACTACCAAAACCATCTTCCTAAAGCACAGTTTGGACCACATCATTCCCTAGCTCAGAAACCTTCATGGACACTTGACTATTGAGAGAAATGGCTATTTCCCTCTTGTATTTAATAATTAATTATTGTATCAGGACCGAGGTTTTTCCCCCTTTCTACTTTCTCATCTAGAAATCAACCAGTGTGGGAAATCTTGCTCCAAGACTTACCCAGGCTAATCTAATCAGACAGTAAAAGAAATTCTAAGTTTGGGCTAATGGGAGGATTCCTGCTCATTGTGTTTACTCAAATAGGTCTGGAAAAGTATTGAAAAGTGTTTGTCAGACAGGTGATATGGAAATTAACAAGTCTCTTTGACCAAGACTTGGGTGATCCAAGTCATGTACCTCAATACTCTCACTAGAATGAGCCCATATCTCATTATAATATTCATTTTGTCATTAATTGTTAATCAATCAGAATTGATTGCCACCCTCAGGAACACTTACTCTTTTAAGGTTATATAAACCCACCACCATGGGGGTCTTTGGCATTCAAGAGGACCACTGACTATTTTATTAATAAGCAAGCTAGCCTTATTAATAAAATTATTAAATCACCCAAAATTATGTCTCTTGAACTTTTTTAATGTCACACTGTGTATAGGATGAAAGATAATTTAAGGTGATCTACTATCTGCCCTCCACCTACCTCCACTTCCTTGGCATATTTCACCCTATCCTCCATCACACGTTCCATGTTATAGCCAAACTGTATGGTTAGCTTTTCCCGGCAATCCTTCACCTCTATGAGCTAGTGTTGGCCATGGAATGTCTACCCATGGAAATCTACCTCTTCCTTGAAAACCCAGCTCGCCTGCCACATCTTCTAGCTGTCTCCAGATAAAAATGACCTCTCCCTCTTCAAATCTCATTAGAGCTCTTTGTGTTTGAGTTTCCTTTTTCTAGCATCATATTCTACATTGCACCATGCTTTCTTGTTTTTCTGAGGAGCAGTGGTATCCTCCCCTTCTCTCTTTTAGGTGATAAACTTCATGAGGACTGTAGTTACTGGGATTGTGTTATTAAGATTTTGGTACCCTAGCATATAGAACCTTGAACATAGTAGATACTGAATAACGTTTGTTTCAGTGAATTGAATTTAGTCTGAAGCTCTCTGGGTAATGCCTATCTCCCTCTTAAGCAGTTGT